TACACAATACCTACCCTATTTGGCAGACTCCCTAAGGATGAAGAGATTTAAATTTTTTCTGTTTGTCACTTACTAGAGTTTTCTGTGTGTTTTCTATTCACTGGAAATAAAGGAGCAATGAGAGCTGCACAGTGACAAGAAGATAGAACAAGCAAACAATTGAGACAAAAACTAATACAAATGAGCTGGCACTGACAGAAGACAGACCTTCAGCGTACAAAGGGGCTCTGCTGCAACACACACAGACCTGTGCAATAAAGAAGTAATTAAGGAAAAGAACACAGGCTCCTTTGTAACAACATGGACTTCATCTGGTTGGCATGACTGCTGCCAAGGGAAAAGCAGCTGTGTCTTACTTGGCAATTGTACTGCAGAGTGGATCACATCTGTGTTATTTAATCAGATGTATTTATTACTGGGATATACTGGTATCAGTTTGCCCCTAGTGGTTGTGAATAAAAGAGTAAGTCTGCTTCTGACTACAATTTCTAGTGAAGTTTTTTTCTGATGGAAATATTAACAGTCAGACTATTGAATCAGGAGTTTTAGCTTCAAATGCCTCTCTGAGAGACAAGCACATCTGAAAAGCACGCTCAGCACAAACCCTAACAAGCGACTCACTGGGGAATATTATCCTCATTGTTAATGTCCTGCTGGAGTGAACTCGGTAATTTATAAATTGCATAATGAGACATCTAAGAAGGTTCAAGCAGACCTATACTAGAAGTTGACTTCTAACCTGCAAGCAGTTCCCTGAAGTTTCTTTATTTATAATCAGATAAGAGTAACTCATATTTTTGTTATTTCTTGTCAGCGTAAGTTGTGACCCAGACAGATTAGTATAACCTGGATTTAAATATTTTTTTTTTAAGGATATCAAGTTTAGTAGCAAAATTTTTAACATAAAAATTTATGGATATAAAGTTACATCACTTAGCACTGATGGTTGTAAACATTTTTTACATAGACAGGCTCATCCTTTATTTGATCTTTCCTTTCCTGACCCAAGGAAATGCATGTGAAGGAGGGAGAGGAAGTTAAGGCTGTGCGAGTCAGCACCACACTGCCCAAGGGAATGAGTAAATAAGGGAGGCACACTGGCTCTCAGCATTTACACCTCTTTGAAATAATAACAACTAAGCAATTAAGGGCTCTCTTGTTTTGTGGCATGATTTTAACAAATTCCCACAAACCAGGTACACCACTAAGAAAGAAGTGACATGCATGTATGAGTTAAGACTGTTCAGCTGAAGTGAATACCTGATAAATGTATCTGAAGTTTGGTTTGGTTTTTTTTTTTTTACATATTCTTTTATTTTATATCATGAAACTAAGATTATTATTACTATGAAATACATGCCTTTTTTCATTAACAGAAAAGTGTCAATGTAATAATATGGAAATGAGTGGGAGGATTCAAAGACAGTCTTCTCCCATGTCTTGAGAACCACAGCCTTTTGTCATGATTTGTTAAGTTTAACCTGACTCACCTGCTGGAAGAACTCTGATCATGACACACAGTGGCTTTCAGCACTCATTGACAATTTCCAATAACTATTTTAAAGTAACAATGTGAGTCAAAATCAGCTTTTGGTACATTCAGACAGCTAGAAGATTGCTTCCAGAGAATATGGTAGCTCCCTAGACAAAGTAACTTCATCTTTTGAGGACTGTTTTTAGAGGATGTTAATTCACTTTCACATATTGAAAACCACAGCCTCCTATACAGCTAGGGCCTTCCTCTATGTTTTCATGTAATATTATTTGGGTTGAACAATTATCTTAGAACTTATGAATTCAAACATTTGTTATTAACAGGAAATCCTGCACTACGCATTTTCCTTATTTTCTTTCATTTAAAAGTGTATCAAGTTACATCTTGTGCAAGGTAATGTGACAGATAACTCTTAATTTGTTAGGACAGTGGTATATTAAACAGTATGGAATAATAAACACAGTTTACTAGAGACTCGAATGCCCTCATTAAAAATGAAAAAAGCCATTTTTAATATTTATCTCAGTACATAATTTGTACGTTTGTTTAATATGCATTTCATAACTTTGTGCTTGACTAGCACAAACAGTATAAAACTAAGCAAAGGAACACTTCAGGCAATAACTGCATTAGCTAATCTGATAACATGGGGCTGGAAATTTCTCAGCAAGGAGACAATTAAGAGAGGTTTGGCACTACTCTTCATCTGTCTTTCATGAAGAAGTAAGTATCTGATGAGAATTTCAAAATTAAAAAGAATAAGCTGCTTGATGAGGTAGACTAATTGCAGTGGATTTCTCTAAAGCCTCTGTTACAGCTGATCTGCTGCTAGTGCTGACTCA